TGACTATACAGTGCAATATAAATTAATATTATATCATTTTCAACCTTATTAATTTAACATTATCACAATTATTTTTTATCGTGCCGTTTAATTATTTCTACATGTATTTCCAATTATGTCAGTTTCAGTCCTCCATACAGTAATGGTATTATTTTGATAAGAGAAAAGGTACATCATTCGAGATGTGGTGAGATTCTGGAAAAAGATGTAAATTTAGTAGAAAATTGTCTAGTTGTGGTGTTTTTAGAGTTTACTATAAATGTTAATATGAAAATTTTCAAAGTTAAATCTGTTTTGATATGTTTTCATTTTGTTTTTTTACAGCCGCTTCTTCACAGATATAAATATCTTCAAGCAAAAACCCTTTCTCACCCAAATGTGGATTATGTTTAAGCTATAATTAATTTTCTGTCACCTTAGTGCATAAATAAGGAAAAATAAATATTTGACACAAAGTTTATTTTGAAGATGTTACTGTTATATGGTCAAGCACAAACATCACTCAGTCATTAGGATTTATGATTTACAAGGTRTTTACTAAAATAAACTTAAATGTTCATGATGACATCAATGATGTTGATAATTTATCTAAAAAAATGTATTTTCAGCAGCTCAAGCTCCAAGTAGCAAACCTCCTGACGATGAAGCAGCAGAAACTGATCAGTGCACCTTTCACCAAAACATCCTTTTGAATCCTTYGTTGTGCTGTTTTTCACTTTCAGGATGCATTCAAGTGAAATATGTGTCAGTGAATGAACCTGATGCATGTTTCAGTTTAATAAATAATACAAGCATTAGTTTTGCATTTTGTGTTTTTTCTTGCATTCATACGTTCTTCGTTATGCAGCATTCTTTCAGCATTATGTTTAAATACACCTGGCCAAAAACAAAAAAGTGTCCACCTGGATTTAACTAAGTGCTAKGATGTGGGGTTGCTGCAGKTGGTCAGGTCTAGGTTCGGCAAGAGTTTGTGCTCAAAGAATGAGGTCAGCTGACCTGAATATACTGAACGACCAGGTTATTCCATCAATGGATTGCTTCTTCCCTGATGGCACGGCCATATTCCAAGAAGACAATGCCAGGATTCATGGGGCTCTTATTGTGAAAGAGTGGTTCAGGGAGCATGAGACATCATTTTCACACATGGATTGGCTCCACAGAGTCCATCGAGAATCTTTGGGATGTGCTGGAGAAGGTCAGACTACCATCATCACTGCAAGATCTTGGTGATAAATTAATGTAACACTGGATGGAAATAAATCTTGTGACGTTGYAGAGGCTTATTCAAACAAYGACACACTGAATGTGTGCCGTAATCAAAGCGAAAGGCGGTCCAATGAAATATTAGTGTGTGACCTTTTTCTTTTGGTGGCAACTTGTTTTTTGAAGTGGCAGTGTTTCTGGGAAAAAAGTTTTTGAAATCATGCTGTAAATGGTGTGGGTCGTGTGACACTCTGCTGGGAACGGTTGCCATTCACAGCAAATACACAGAACTTTACTAAGTCAAAGACATAAGATTTCTTTGAGAAGAAGTAACATGATGGAAACTCACTAAGTTTTGATGGGGCCAGACTACACCAATTTTGTAAAACTAATCTTAACAAAAGAAAAAAGAGGATATTCTGCCGCATTAACATATTACCCAGTTTTATTTGGTTCTTTTTGGCTGCTTTCTTTGCAAATTCAGCTCCTCTAAATCTGAGGCCATGGTTTTCAACAARAAATGGGTGGAAKGCCACCTCTGGGTTGAAGGAAAGTATTTTRTTCCTGAGTGATAGCAGGATAAAGCAGCAGACGGATCAACGGATCGGAGCCTCGTCCAGTAATGTGGCTGTTGCTTAGTTTGGTGAAGAAAGAGTTGAGTTCAAAGGCAAATCTCTCGATGTACTGGTTCACCTACATTTGAACCCTCACCTGTGGGCATGAGATCATGACTGAAATAACAGGACCCTAGAGACAAGCAGCCGAAATGAGCTCCAGGCTCAGTCTTAGAGATAGGTTGGGGAGCTCCGTCATCCGAGTGGAGATCAGAGTGGAGGTGCTGGTTCATCTGATTAAAATGCCTCCTGGAAACCTCCTGTTTGGAAGTTTTCTGGGGCAGACCCAGAACTTGCTAGAGGGGTTTATATATCCTATCCAGCCTGGGAACACGGATTAGTACATACGGCTTTGAGATGATTCTGGTCCACCATATGGCGTCCCGGTGGAAAGGCGGTTCTCCACCAACATTGTTTATGGTGGGGATGGTGCGCTGCTGACCTCAGAATACTTTGAAGACCTCCTCAATCCCACCGACACGTCTTCCCGTGACGAAGCAGAGCCTGAGGACCCTGGGTTGGACTCTCCAATCTCTGGTGTCGAGGTCACTGAGGTGGTTAAAAAGCTCCTCGGTGGCAGGGCGCCAGGGGTGGATGAGATTCGCCCACAGTTTCTTAAGGCTCTGGATGTTGTGGGGTTGGGTTGGTTGACGTGACTCTACAACGTCGCATGGACATCGGGGGAAGTTCCCCATGATTGGAAGACTGGGGTGGTGGTCCCCCTATTTAAAAAGGGGGACCGCAGAGTGTGTTCCAACTATAGGGGGATCACACCTCTGAGTCTCCCTGGTAAGGTCTATTCAGGGATCCTGGAGAGGAGGGTCCATCGGGATAGTTGAATCTCGGATTCAGAAAGAGCAGTGTGGTGTTCATCCTGGTTGTGGAACAGCGGACCAGCTCTACAACCTCAGCAGGGCCCTGGAGGGTGCATGGGAGTTCGCCCAACCAGTCTACATGTATTTTGTGGACTTGGAGAAGGCGTTCGACCGTGTCCCTCGGGGGTAGTCCGGGAGTATGGGGTACCAGGCAGTGTTGTATAAAGTATCTCAAAGTGATACTTGAGTAAAAGTACAG